AAATCTCTTGAACAAAATGATTTTTACAGATTTATTTAATCCCTTTATTTAACTTATCTTGAATAAGTGTTTGCTTACTTTTTCGCTTACTTGACACAAAAATAAAAGATTTCCAAACGTCAAACAAACAAAAAAAGATGTCCGATTATCAAGTGACTTGAGAGTTGAGACCAACTCGAGATAGAAAGCACGCGCACCTACGTACGTACTCAAGCTCTTGTTTCAGTCTCATCACCTTGGTTCCATGCTTGACCCAATCTGCATCCTCTACATGAGACCCATACGCAAATCCACCGTGACTTGTCATATCAATTCCAACTTTCTCTTCTTCCACAGATACTCTAAGAAGATTAATCTTATGTAACCCATAAAACAAAGATCCCATTGTTAACGTAACCCAACCGAAGATAGCGATGATCTGACTTATTTGTGCACCAATTAGTTTCACTCCCCCACCCATCAACAAACCGTGCGACCTTCCGATTTCGCCGCCATAAACTTCACTCATGTACCTTTTCGTAGCGAAAAGTCCCGTGAATAGTAACCCCCACGCACCACAACCACCATGCACTTCAGCAGCTTGAAGCGGATCGTCGTATTTAATTTTCTTGGCAAGCAAGTCAAGTCCGATCGTAACCCAAGATGCCACTGATATAATGCATTTTTGGCGTATTCTAACCTTTGTTTTGTGGGTTTTTATCGAGTCTTTTGTTTTACTTTGAGTCATTCTGGGTCAAAAAGAGACTGGAATGGAGGATTAGAACTCACAATGAGACTTGGCGAAAAAGGAAGGAAATTGAATCTTTTTGAAGATTCTGAAGAAAATGAGCACCCGCTCCCGATCGCTAAGACCTGCTCCGCAGAAGATCCAGTTTTGAAAATTTTCATTAAACCTATTTTTGCCACATAGGGTCTTTTTAAAAAATTCCAGCCGCCCCAGACCTTTATTTAAGGATTTTTTTCGATCATTTTCAAGAAGACAGACCCGAACGACAGAAAGAGAGGATCATAGAAAGTGAGAGAGAGATTAATACTTGTTTTGTGAGATTGAAGATTGTCTTCCA